AATATTATACAATATAATAAATATTTAGGAATATATTATCTATGTTTTCTCATTGATTTTTTTTTTTTTATAACTTGATTTCAAAGTGAATACATTATAGGTATGTAAATTATTACATTTAACTATTTTCATGAGTAATTTTATACTTAGTGGAACATAATATGTTATATTATGAACATAGTATGAGGTAAATTGTTATAGTTTACCGTACTAAAAATACATTTTTAAAATATCCATCGTTTAGGTCTTATTTTTAAATCCAGGTAAGTTCAGCGATTCTTTAGAAAATGAAATTCATAAAACATAAAACAAAATATTTTATGTTTGGGAACAATAATATAAATAACAAAATAAATATCATCGAATCTTCTCATTTACATTTCAAAAACAACTTCTACATGCTGTATTCAAACATTCACAATTTTTTAAATGTTTTATTGGAAGTAAAAATAAACATTTATATGAAAATTAGAAACATAGGCCTTGAAACAGGCATAGGTAAGATAAAATTATAATTAAAATGAAATAAAAATAATACAAATAAAAAGGAAAAAATCTGGTTTGATTTTAAACAATCTATAAGTGAAATTTAAAAAAATAAATAGTCGTTTTTATAAATATTCATTATTTTAATTATTATCTAATTATAATTTTATGTGTATTGCGTAACCTTGATGAATGAATAAATATATAGTCGGGTTATGACTGATTAAAAAGATACGTTTGATATTATGTTATTATGATTATTAAAACAAAAACACTGTTTATTTTAGTTTCGAAGCACCTGAAGTAGCAAAGTAAGCAGCTGTATGGAGTTTTTTTTTTTTTTTTTTTGGCAAAATATCAGTAAAAGCAGTAGATTCTGTGAAATAATAGAAGATCTGAACGGTAAACTATTTTAAGGACCTAAAGAAATAACATAACTTCTTGCTGAGTACCAATATTTAAAAACAAACTAATTACATTTAACACCATATTTAAGAATATTTTCATAAAACCTTGTAATATAGTGTAAATATTAGTTCGGTGAATACATTTATTTGTAAAATAAGATAAAATATTAACCGTCAATCACGATTCAGATGAAATATTAATCAGGTATTATTAAAAAATGCATTTATTCTAGTGCTTCGTTGCAGAATATAACGTTCGATAATCACTTTTCAATGGTACACAAGAATTGGATTTGTTCCCAGTTTATTTTAAACATAACATTCAAGTTGGTTTAGACGTAATAAGTCACTTATCGTTTTACACCAGCCTAATTTAGATCCATTTTAAGTATAGGTACTAAACCTGAGATAGCTGAGTACAGTTTACGTGTAGAACAATATAAGATTATTCTTCAGTATTTCTATTTTTTGACATATTATGTAAACAATTTTTAGATTTGATATAATTTGAACAAAATTTTTTATTGACGACAATTTTAACATTTTTTATACTTAAATATCTCATATTTCCCAGGAAGTTAAGGTATTTGGGGGGGGGGGGGTATAACAATATTGTAACATAACTCTACTTCTTGTTGGTAACAAAATGTATATGTATAATAATTTTAAAATTCGCTATAGTCGCATTCAAGTATGCGATGCATTTGCAAGGTAAAAATACGAAATTTGTTTTCATTAATTTAAATTCAAATGTTATAAGTTATAACTGTCTAATAAATATAGTAATAGATTATTATTAAACTATTGACAATAACAAGTGCATCTATTTTTTTTAAAAGAGCGAATGAATTTTCCGGAAATATCGTGGCCAAATTTTCAGGTTGAGAAGTGATAGTATGTTCTTTTATCTACCAGTTGAAAAACTTTATAAAGCAATTTTAGAAAAAAAAATTATTTAATTAGGTTACACTTGCGGTTATTCGAGATTGTGCACCATGCACAACCAAGCGATTACAGTGATCGATAAATATATAATAATGCCATTATGATTTATGATCGGAGCACATATTATATTATAGTATTCGAAGAGAAAGAATTTACCTATATAGTATATACAGAGATAATCGTGCGTACAATATTAGGTTATTATTGATATTATTGTCAACAAATTACATCCGGAACTATAATTTACCAATGCTTTAATTAATATTAACTGTGTATTTATATAATATATGTAAATGATTAAATATATTCGCTGCGAACCGATTATTATTGGATATAGTTTTTTTTTTTTTTGACACGTCGAAATAATAAATTCGGAAACATAATACGTTAATATATGCATATATGTAATTTATGGTCTGCGCGTGCGGATTATTATTACTTACCAATGACTGCAACAGGTCTAGTCAACGTTATCCCAACTAGATGATATTATTTTACACAGTAGGTGGGTATTTATTATTACGTTATATTTTTAATAATATTTATAAATCAAAGAAAGGATATACCTCTATAAATATTATATACGTATACTTTCTGTTTTATTTGTGTAGCTATATAGTCATGTTGAACAAAACAAGTTATATTTAATCCCAAAGAATTGCATTTTTTATTTCACATATTACACAACTTCGGTATTATGCGCATGATATCTGTATCTAATATGTGTACCTAAACAATGAATTTATTGGGTCATTTATTAATACAACTAATAGTAACCATTGACCTAGGACTCGTGCAAAACGAATCTTAGAAAAAAAATCCACTTAGTAAATAATTATTGAGTAAATTAAGCTATGCATACACCAAGACAGCACATATTATGTAATAAATAAGACATAAGTATAGCTAAAATCTGTATAAATGCATAATATTATCATACATTTTCAAGAATTGTCACATAAATAAACGTATTAATACCATTTAAATATAAAAATAAAGAACATAAATAAAAATTTTTAGTAATGCGTACAATTTAAAAAATAATCTTATAGCTTTATTTACTTTAATGCATACAAATTAAAAAATAATCCTATATAATTATTTATATATGTTGTAGCTTTTACATTGTTTACTATATAATACGTAAGTATAGATGCAATTTAAATTCTATATTGTTTATTGTACATAATTTTTTTTCCAGGTAAGAGAAAAATTTGGGGCTTTTCGAATACCTATAATAGATCTATGATTTCGATCTGTTAACGATGGTGCATAATTGTACAATATACACAGGTTAGATTTTAAGTATTATATCATTTGTAATACATTTATATCATTCCATGTACATGAAGATATACAGTTTAACTGACATCACTAATTTATGTATTTTTGAAAAAAAAATTCTATTGTTTGAAGTTTTTATAACACCAATTTTTTACAAGAATATCTATTTTACTACTATTTTTATTATAGTGATTCTTTTTAAAATATATATTAGATTCTGGAGGAGCGATGAGTATGGATTTATTTTATCCAGATAAAATTAATACTACTAATATTAAGATAAAGTAAGTTAGATAAAGTAAAAATATTATTTATAAAATGTTTTTTTCTTAAATTTTATACGAATACGGTTGAGTGAGTAAAGTACATACTTTGATAAAATAATGATTATATAATATGTTGCATGCATTATAGCTTAATTCAAACTATCAGAAGCAGACTTAAGTATATATAATCTACAGAATGTACTGTTTGCAATTGTATCTTGTCTTATTAGGCTTAACGACAATCAACATCACGAACATTATAAATATAATAACACTTCATAAAATAACCAGCAAAAACGAATATTTATACATTTATACCATTTTTAATTGTATTAATTATAGACACTTGTATAGTTTTTACCAAATATTTGTATAAACATTTCCCAAGAAATTATTTATTTCAAATTACTTTAGCTATTTTCTTGTTCTTTATAGATTTTTGAATTTTTTTCTAACCAATAAAATTAAACTTTTGTTTTTGAGTAAAAAGATTGAAAATTTAACCGTGGGACGATAACCTTATCTCTTTCTCTCCACTTATTATAATATGAATATCGCCCTACAACATTAAGTTAGTTATCGGGATCGTTCTTTTTTATAAGATCAAGTACATTCGTATCATATTTTCATTGATAATATACTCTAATGGCACCTATAATATATTATACAGTCAGACTTATCTCCTCATATTTAGACAGAAATAAGTAAAAGTAGTGGACGAACGCATGGGAAAGCTTCTATTAAGAATATAATGTTATACACCTCATCAATAAATTCTTATTCTTTCTAAGAAATATTAAAAAAATTTAAGATGACATAAACATTTTAATTTATGGAAGATAATATTAAAAAATACCTAATTGAGCAAATATTTTGGATTACATTTTGTTAATATCATAGCATTAAAAAACAAATAAATTATAAAAAAATTCAAAAAAATATTGAAATAATATAAGGTAAATATTATTTAAAACTTCGAAGAAAAATGAATTTTTAGGCATAATTCAGTTTACTTTCTTGTAGCATAATATGATCCTAAAATTAAGTGAGACGCAAACGGTTCATGCCTTTTTTGAGGATGTACTCGGAAGATCCCATATACCATGTACTAACATGCATCAACTTCCATGACAAATCCCCCTCTCCATTATTGGAAAATATCTATTTTTATATTATACATATAAAATTGTATCTATAATTGTCAAATAAAATAAAATAAAATATAAATTCATGACAAGTTAAGTTAAACAATTTTAATCTCCCCCTTCCCCTATCATAATCTTCGTTGCATACTTACGCGATTATTATTATTATAGTACGTTTTCTTGAACTTTTGCCCAAAAATCGATCTGTGGTCGGGGTCATGGTGGGGACATAGGGTTTGGCGTCTAAATTCGTCAAATACTACAACTCATCGTACCGTTGTGGATTGGGAACGTCCAATAAAAGCCAAAAGCCGTTTTATTATTGTATATTATATGAGATAGACGACCGCGTGTCATCGGCGGCGCCTCATCGTCGTCGTCGTTGTCATTATTCATTACCATAAGACAGTATACCAGCATTATAATAATATTAAACCTTTATTGAATAAATAATAAATTATATTATGACGTACAATTGTACAGAAGTGTTAAAATAACAAACTATAAATAACTGTAATTATAATCATAATATATTACAACATTGTTGTATCGCGTGTGTGACCGTCATCATGGAACAAGACGAACCGTGTCTGGCCCCACAACTGTGCATCCGTTGTCGGTCGTACGATCTCGGCCGACATGTCGCGGTCGTGTCCAACGCAGACCCGTGCACGTGCACAGACGACGAGACGTGTCCGCACAACAAGAAGACCACCGCGCTGCAGCTGTTGGTCCTCAGAAAAAAAAAGTTTGTTTCAACTGCCTGTAAATTGTATATATTATAGTATAATCGCTTAACGAAACATTTGATTTTGTTTAGATTTTATATTTAATTTTATTTAATATCCTTACGGAAGCACACTGCACTGGCCTCATTGTGAAAATATTGTGTAGGGAGGTCTATGAGTATTAATATGCGTTCGTAGGTGGGGGGCCAGTACGGATGCTAATGCGCCAACCGAAATTTAAAAAAATTATTTATTGTTGAATGCTTACAATTATACATAATAGTACTTTCATCTTTTAATACTAAGTAAAACACTTTTTCTTTTTTTTAGATTTTATCATCAAAGAAATTTTAGGTAACTATTTCTAAATATTTAATGATAACTATTTTCAGCATAAGTGTAATTACCTATACCATGGTTGTTTCCAATTTAGTTTTTTCTGAAACATATTTTAAAGAAATGAATCTGAGTATTTGAAAACCTAATTTAGTTATTTTTTACATCGGAAACTATATCTATACCAAAAATTTGAAAAAATAGATATTTTAAAATTCGTAGTTGCATTTATAAAAATGTTAATCAAATATAAGGTTATTATGTATTTTTATTCTTTATGCTAAATATGATGGAACAATCATATTTTTGTTATCAGTATGTATTTACTATCGAAGGGGAGTTTTCATTATTCATAAAAATAAATAGTTTTAAAAACTTAAAATACAAAAATACAAAAAACAAAAAAAATTGTTATTTGTAATTTTTACCGAGAATATATTTTATAAAAATAAAAAAAAATTTCACGTCAGAATAAGTGCCTTTAAAAAATGAATAAAATAAACATGGGTCTTAAACTAAATATTGTTCTTTGCATTTTGAACCCGCTGAACTTATGACACACAAATTGCTCTCAATAAAACGTACTATGCCATTTGTAGGTTTTCCACAAAATTTCAAGTCCATTCTAATACAGTTCAACGACAAAATTTTGCAAGAATTCATGTCATCCTTTTCGCACCTATCGACTTCGTATGTATTCTATATTAGATATAATATCACATACATTACCTATACAGATTAATGATTATATGTACCTATCTAGTATAATATTATACAAAATATGATTCGTTATAACGGATGATAGCTGCATGTTTGTATAATCTTATTTAAATAAACGAACATTATCTGTGTTCTCATGTGCTGTCAGGCTCTTTTTTTAAATTTTTATTTAAAGACGAGTTATTAATATTTAATAATTAATGTATCAAATTTCAAAACTAAAAATACTTATACTTCGCTTTACCATTGAAATAACGGAAAATATCTGACAAGATAAAACGGATATTATTTGTACTCTTAAAATAAAATTGATGATTTGGGTAAATTAATTGTCGGTTATAAGATAAAGACGATATGACCCTATTGTGCGGGCATCACTTGAGCTTAAATTATGAATTTATCAATAATTTGATTTTTAGAACTTTTAAACACGCCTAAAATATATTTCAAAATACTTAAAAAATTCAAGAAAAATGTTCTCTTCGGTTTTTTTTCTGGCGCATAATAATTTTCCAATGGTAAGACGAACTTTCGAATGATTTCCTTGATCCTTTTTTTATAAATCGTCAAGCAAAAAGTTTTTAATTTTTTTTAAATTTTAATCGATATTTGAAGAGTAGTTTCTGAATAAGTTTATTTTTTGTGCTATGATAATTTTGAATTCGCGTACGTCAAATAATATATCAAATAATCATAAGCGTGCGCATGGGGTAGGCCTCTGACTTTTTCTTTAATAAATACATAGATATCTTTACTATACTAGATAGCGAATATTTTTACATTTTACATGAAAAAAGTGAAACTAGTTTTAATCTCATACTATAGATATCTGTGAATAAATATAATAGCATTATTAATTAATCAGTTATCATCGACCAAGTGATTTATTATCACAGAAGACTTAACTATCTGAACTATCCACTCTGATATCAGCTAGCGGCTTATTTATTTATTTTTTTTATTTCAGTAGCTTTCAACTACTTTACTTATATATTTACGTTATTTCACGGCTGTAACTAGTAGGTAATATTATAGCTAACTAGTAAATAAAAAACTTTTATAATGAATGAAAAGAAGAACTTGCATATACTATAAAAATTGATGATGTAATTGATACATACAAAAACCTTACACCCGTGAAAAAAAGAATGGAGTTGTAAATAGCTATGTAAATAAAGATTTATTATACATAAATTGAGTAAAATATAATGATTTTTTATAGGTATTATTATGTTGTTTCAAGTTATTATTATTATTATTCATTTTTATTATAATTATATACTGTTATTAATGTTATTATTATTATGTATTTTAATACTTTTGAATAGTATTTATTTTTATATTTGTAAATTTAATTAAATAAATATTTAAAAAAATTAACAATTATATATTTAATAATTAGAGCTCAGAATTTAAAAATTACGTTTTTTTTATAATAAATTATCAAAAATCATCGTATTTAAATAAATATATTTTAATTATTAATTTATTATTTTATTCATCTATATTTAAACAATGCTAATATTCTTATACATAAATATGTTTTTTTACAGACACAGGGCCTAAATTAAATTTAAAACAAAGATAAGAAATAACGTCAGTAATACAAAATAATTACATAATATAAATTGGTATTTTCAGAAAAATAATTGAAAGATTGGGTTGTACGTAATACGTTAGTTTTTCTAATATTTAGTTTTGTCAAAATAATATAAAAGAAAAATGTAAAAAAAGCAAATATGTCTACAAAAATGCAAAAAATGGGTCAAAATCAATAAAAAATTACCGAAAAATGCAGAAGAATGCAAATAAAAATGGTATACCATTGAAATTTACATAATATAAGCCTCATTTCTGTAAAAACAAGCCTCATATAAACGGATCAGAAAAAAATTCGAATGCATCAAGTTCTGGGACTTCTAAGAATTATACTAGTAGTCATTATTAGTATAAGAAGCTTTGATTCAGATCTTTTTAAGGAGCCTTTAATAGCCTCCCCACTGCAGACAAAGTCTGCGCACGCCTATGCAAATAATAATAATAATAATAATAATAATATATTCATTATACACACACGCATATACTCAAACTCAATATTCGTATAGTCCTATATATTAATGCGACATTACTTATAAGAACAAACTTGATTATATACGCTTCATTAGTAGTGTATCTGAAGCTCTGCTAGGGATCGGGGACGACAGTGTAGTATTTTTAAATTGTATTTAGTACTGTAGGAAAAAAATGATTTAATAACGTCGTCATTATAATAACACAGTTGTTCCACCCAAAAGCGTACCTCTCGAATACGCGACTAAATTCGAATTATTATTAATTAATACTGCTGATCAACGTCCATACGTTATACTTATAATGTAACACACAGTCAACTAGGTAATTGTTGTTAGTTATTTTCTTAACCATCGTGGCTTTTAAATCCATTGTCGCTGCAGGACAAGTCTGCAGCATCAGCAAGCGTTGTCGACAACGGACGGAGCAGACAAGACGATTGACCGTGGCGAGGAATCGGACGAACATCATGACGACGACGACGACGACGACTGCTCCTCTTCGTCGTCGTGTAGCACTACGTCCTGCTCGTCCTGCAGCAGTAGTGATACTACTACGTCAGAATCCGAAGAAAACGATTCAATTACCTGTATATCGGCCGATTTGCGGCAATAACACAAGCGTTTCGGAATAGTTAAGTTTCGTTTTAAAAATATCATTAATTTTATTGTCATCACAAGTATAAAATATAGCATAAACATTTATATGCATAATAAACGGTGGTGTAAAGAGAACGCGCGTATACTATACATATACGTAAATCACATTGTAAGGATAATAGTAATAACGTTAAAGTTTATTCTTTCTTTCCAGCTTTGCTTTTCTTTTGGCCGCTGTTGCTATCCCCGCTTCTGCTGTTGCTGCTGCTGCTGTTGCTGCTGCTACTACTGCTGCTACTACTGTTGCTGCTGCTACTGCTGCCGCTGCTGCCGCTGCTGCTGCTGCTACCGCTGCTGGTGCTACTGCTGTCACTATCGGTGTCACTCTCGCCGCTGCTGGAAGAACCGTCGCTATCGCTTTCCGAGTTCCAAGAATTTTCGTTTTTCTTTTTCCGTTTCGCATCTCTTAGTTTTTTCTTCGATTTCTCTTCTTTTACGGGCCTATATTAAAATTTCATTATTGGGTTAGACAATATATATAATATATATATTATACTTAAATCCCCATTGTGTAGCCAAGAGGATTGTGATGGCTGCGATCCTTCTCTGAATTTGAAATAAACTTATAAAATGCTTACAATGTGCTGAAGACGTATAGTACATAAACGAGATAATGTACGACGTAATCACATATTAAAATTATAATTTGTTTGAAAATTGCAGCAAAAGTCTAACATATCATATACCTACTCAACGCCATCACTATACCCAAATGTATGAGAGACCCTATGTTAAGTCTATCCTATACAAAAAATTACCAATCCTTGTACCCTAAGGTCAAACCCTACATCACTGATATATCGATAGTTTCATTAGGAAATCGTTTGAAAAATCAAAAATCACCATGATATTTGAATTCGAACCAAATTACCAACTGTGTCACTAATAACATATATATGAACTATTATATCCAATACTATATACATAATATAATTAAATATAAATAACTTTTTTTACCACATACTTGCATAATATTTGACTGGCAGGCCTGTCCTTGTTCAAATTCCTCTTAAGCAACGTCGTACGAGTCGGGCGGTCCGCAAATTTTCTTTTTCCTTTGCACTCGTAAGTCCAATGACCGAATTCCAGACACTTTTGGCAGCGGATACCTTGTGGAGGTACATAGGCTCTACATAAATGTAAAAATTAATTTTATTAATATTTACGTATAACGAGTGTAATGAATTTCGCTGCAGTGTAGATACGACAATATATTATCTAGTTACTGGTATGCTTACGGTTTTTTTTTTGTTATATGAAGTGGTGCCATTGCCCTATAAGGATCTCCTGTTTAACTGACTACCAACGTAAAATGAATTTCCAGACTGCAAATAAGAAAATGATATTATTAAGCATGCAATTTCAACACAATATAATTGAGTACACGACTTATATTATAGACATTATAAGTAAGCATTAATTTTTTATAATAACAATTAGAAATACGTATAATCAAAATAATTAAAAATTTTGGCAACTTAACATTACAGTGACTTAACTATAATACATAAATAATCTTCATGAATTTTTTTTAACATTTAAATTTTGTACTACCTATATCTAGATAGGCCAGCCCATGATTAACATTTTGACGTTCAATTTCATAACTTCATATACTTCCATGTCTCTAAATACTTTTACTAATGTGAGGCTAAAGAATATGGGAGATAAAGCTTCCCCTTTGATATTTCACTTCAAGCAAATCGACCAAGCTTTCCTCATCAACAAATTTCGCAACAGATGTTCGAGATACAAATTTCAATCATTTATAAAATAGTTTTTTGCGTATTCAAAAGTAGACTTCAGCTGTTGTCGTTCATGCTATGACAAGCCTATTTGAAATTTATATGGAAACTGCGTGTATTCATTTTTAAGTTCATAATTTTACGTGCATAGTGAAAATTTTATTTGTAGTCGTTATAAATCTCGTGGAGCCAAATTGATATTCTCTAATAATATAAATAGCGTATACCAATAATTTTTTCAAAATTTCTAAATACGATGCATATTATATTGTAGTATATGTCCTTTATACAGGACCAAGGACGTCCGTGAAAACTTTTTAAGTGGAGGTAGGCAAACATCTTTTCATTATACATATGTATAATACACTTACCTACCTACTTTTTTAAGCATAGTAATTTTTTAGATGATGCATTTATATTCCATATAAATTAACTAAGAGAAAACAACAATAATAATTTTATACTATTATTAAATTATGACTTATGAGTCATAATTTATGAACAATAACATGAAATAAAAAAAAATAAATATTTAAAATAAATTCCAAAGCGAGGAGCGGATTGCCTATACTTTTCCATCCTTTCGAATGTCTTTGAATGGAACGACCCAAACTTATCGATAGTTTTTGACATTTACTGTATTTAATACTTCCTAAACGTTGATTACTAAAATATTAAAATAATATAAAATGCATTATTAAATATATTAAATATAATTTCTGCCAATGTACTAATGTAATAATATCATATAAATAAAAATTATATTCAGTTAATATGAATATTATTTATCCGTGGCATAAGAACGAATAATGATAACAGCGGTCCACACCGAATCCTATATAACAATAATTATTATGATAATATTATGGTAAATTCCAAGCATATCGTTGACTACGAAATTCTTTGTGGAAACTTCCTGCCTTAAATGTCTCAACGTTTTCATCGCATAACTACGTCATAGTACGTGCACCGCTGTATCAACATTGCGTACAATCATAGTTTGACCTACACCAAGAGGTCAAACGACAATAACATACGCTACATAAATAATGTACACAAAAAAAAAAAATGTACAACTATATAAAATGTACATATTATATTGTATATTATAGTGAATATATAAACATTATATAATGACGTCTGTTTGAGCGGATACAATTTTTTTGTTTATTTCTCAGTCAATTTAATCATAAATCCATAATAATATATATACATTAATACATACGTTGATAAGTTGCTTACGAATTTACGAAAATAAATACTGGCCGATAAAACACAGATGAAAACTAATTTTTACATCAGCAATTAACATGTAAAGTATTACAACACATTATAGTGTGCTTCGAAAGTTCTATAACACTGGTTAGAACAACTACAATTTAACAACAAACTTGAAACTTTCAAAATAATTAAATAATAATTTTAAAAATGTATAAAAATATTTTTAGTTGAGTAAACATTAATTTACACATAGTTAAGTTCTCGGTTTTCTTAAAAATAGGTAACGATCTCGTTCTGCGTATAAATAACAGAACACAAAAAGCAAATCACTTTAGTTTAAATCTAATGCACCTTTTAACATAAAACCACTGATAACATCTACTACTTAGTAGACTTTTAAACATAATTAAAAATTATTATTAAAAATATTATTATAATTATTAATTTAAATTTTAAAAAAAAATGTAATTATCGAATAATTCCAAATTCATATTATTTGATTATATAATATGAATGTAGCAAAAATGTTTATAAAATATATAAATTCATATAGATACTTGAAAATTAATTAGGTACCTAAATATGCACTCACGAGTGAAAAAATAGTCAAATGTAATAAATACTTAACATTTAAATTACGAACGCGATGAAAAACATGTTCTTAACTATTTAAAAAGATGCTATATTATAAATATATATTTATACTAATCATGAAACATAACCAGGGACGAACATAGAAAAAAGTTTCGGGGGATGTTTTTGGAAATCAGTTATTAAAAAATAGAACTTTTTTTAATAAATATAGGAAATACAAAATAGATATACCTAATAGGAAATATGCCAATACACAATAGGCATAATTTTATTTTATTTCTAAATCCTGTTTAAGTATTTTTTAATTTTTTTTCAAATTATATTAAAATTTTAATTTGTTAGTATTAAAGTTTTATTTTGCTTTAGTCTATTTTTCATCAACATAATGTAATATTATACCTGTCTAAAAGTTTAATATAACAATTAACATTAATTAAATAAATAATCATACAAATAACCAAATATTTCGGGGGGTGTTTGAACACCCAAAACACTCCCTTGTGTACATCCCTGAACATAACGTATACGTATTAGCCATTAACTATATTAAAAAATCATATATTTTAATGGGTATCAAGCTGATATATAAATACATTTATTGTAATTGGTATTAATAATGTTAGCCGAATTATTTCTGGTCCACTAGTTATATACTGCACAGTGCACAACAATAATGAACTACAACGTATTGTTGATTAGAACATCAAAAAATTGTGTCATACTATTCAACTTAAATACGTGTTATATTATATACAAAAAAACACATGAACACATTTGAAAACACATAAAGTTAAAGTTAGTAACTTTTGCTTAGTTACATGATGAGTTACTTCTAATTTAACAGGTTAATTTTTTTTTTTTATAACGTGCTACAGTTAAGATCCTAATAATCAGTTAACTAATTGTATAGTCATGTAGTTTTAACTTTATAAAATATATATTTTTTTAGATTTATAATATATTTTGTAATTTCAAAATCTATTTATCGAAATAATTTTTTAACTCGACACTAGAAATTTTGAAAACTATTAACAAATTTTCAAATATTTTTTTTTAAAAATTAGTCAAAAAAATAATTTGTTTAACGAAGTATTTTTATTTTTATTTTTTTTACTATTAATATTAAAGGCTTTTACTTTTTTGTGAAATAGCTTATATTTTTAATATAATTTATTAGAAGAATATTCCTTGGCGAAGATTTGACACATGTAACAATTGCACAGTGAATTGGTTATAACTTTTATGAATTTAAAGTTTAGATAAACGGTAGACTAACCAAAATCAGCGTAACCCCCTACGATGTTTCAGTTACTTAATATGTTTGTATATAATATATATAATTTGGTTATTGTGTTTTAGCATGAATACATTTTTTTATCACTATTTACTACTTAAATTTATAATAATGAAATATTATAGAAATTCGAGTTTTGACCACCCACTTACTTGGTTATTAATATTAAATTGCATAGCAAACTAATCAAAATAGATATGTACAACTTGCCAGTCTTATATGCAGGTATTAAAAATTTAATCTACCAGAAAAATATGAGCGCCACTCGATCGATTTATTCTTAAAACATTAATATTATATTTTCATCTTATCATCGGCCTTATCCACTTCAAACCTATACTTATTAAGTTATAAATTAAAACGATTATCGGGTAGGTATAATACTGTACTAGTTTAGGAACTCGACCATTTAAATACTATACAACAGTGAACAGACCTTCCTTTTTTTAAATATGTTTGCTTAGTATATCCACAGCAATGTATGAAATATATTGACGTGTCAGTGTTTTTATTAATTATACGTATAATATAATAATAAAAATTTTTATTTTTAAAGCATTACATATTTGGATGTTTAGAAATACTTATCTACAATAGTCACCTAATGTTTCCGCAAAACGAACTTTGTGAGCTAGTGGATACCAGTGCTTCTCAAACTAGGGACCGTGACTGGTGGGCTGTGAAATATTTATTTTAGTACATAATTAAAAAAAAAAAAAAATAATTAATGATTTTGATTAAGGGGGCCTTGGCAGTTTCACATTAAATTTAAAGAGGCCCATAACAAAAAAGTTAGAGAAGTACTGGCGTACGCAAACAATGATTTTATAAATAGATTCTGCAATATTAACGTTAGAGAATACCCATTTATAATGACTGTTTTTTCTTTGTCTAGATATTATTTATATTTTATTTGCTTAAAAATTGTCGTAAATTCCTCTTGTATTTATTCTTCATATCTAAATAGTTTCGAACTACAAATACAACGTTTATAATTGGTATTTGTTCCCATCAAATACGTCAGTACTCATTGTTTCAAAAAATACTAACTTTTTTCGAAATATTTCTGTTTTATTATTTCAAGTTATTGCAGAATAAAATACTTGAAAAATCTAATTTTATATTTACTAAAAACTAAAAATTCCTAACTAAGAAAAAAATGTAGAAAAACATTTTAAAAACTATTATTTTTATTTTTTCAGTTTATACATTGTGTAACAGTATTATAAATATTTATACTCCGAAATTATTTTAATTAATCAACATTTTAAACACTTCATATAATTTTATTTTAGTTTGTAACGTAGCTATAATGTAACTTAGTATTATTGATATCGAATAGTTTTTATTTAAAAAAAAATTTTAATTGAATTCTCGAACAAAATAAAACATATTCAGAAATTATAAAATTGGCAACATAGCCTATAAAAACGTTCGCAATCATGTTACAAAAATGGTAAAACGTTCGCAATCGTGTTGCACCCTTCCAATTCATAAATCACTCCGGCAAAATTGGAATTTTATGTATCAAAGTAGTTCAAAAAATATTTCGCTTTAGAATAAAAGGAACTAAAAGTGGATAAACGCGTACATTATCCTTAAAAATACTAAATAGTAAGAATATATTTTTTACCAACTTAAAATTATGTAAAAACATTATTTTTATTCAAAAATGTCATAAATTTTTAAAACAATGATTGTACTGCGGGCATTTAATCACCGATAAAAAAATAAATATATTCTTCCAATGTAAGTAGTTATTATTATGACTACATATCAATTGTGCCAAAATCACAGGTAAAGAAAAAAAATTATGATGTAGAAAAAAGGTACATCAATGCACCAATTGATTTTTAAAAATATGTAATGATGTGTATCATACTATTAATACTAATATCCATTATCATTAATTTTAGAACTTGTGTAGAATATTAGGTAAATTAGTAATTAACAAAAATGTCTGGTAACTTAAGATTTTTTTAACTACGAATCGAATCTGTATTTACATATCGGATTCTCTAGTTTTATTTTTACCTAAAGCATGACAATTTAATCTACGGCATTGTGCTCGTAGGTATGTTTGAAAATTATTAATTTTATTATTATATTATTTTATTTTATGAAGATAAAACAAAATTTAGACAAATGTTATTCGTTTATAATGTAAATTCCTAGTATTTTTCAGTACTAATACACTCGTTATACGTATAATTGCTGTGGCTTACGTTCTTATTTATCATGAAAATAGTTTTAAGAAAACATGGTATAGATTAAAGAATTAATATAATATAATATAATATATAAAGAATATTACACAAGTAGTGTCCCAAATTTGACGCAATTGACGAACATCGGGTATAATTAGGTATATCAGGTATATGTAATGAATTGAAACTTTTTAAGGTGTACCTATGTATAATATTTATATATATAATGCGTAACCAATATTGTATATCTATAAATAAAAAAAATACCTAGACAGAAATTCTATTTCATTAATTAAATTCTAATTGCATTTCTATGGAACAGACAGTCGTCAAATTGAATCACAAAACTGTAAAATATTTAATAATTAGTGAGATTATTTTCATTCAAAATTGAATTGACAATTATTTTATGCATAGCGTCCAAACACTTTAAACAGGCACCTAATTAATACCTTCGTTGTATTATGAACTACAATTTTTGACCTGCTATTACAAGAATCTCCAATACGTTAAAAGCTTCAAAGAAAGAATATTTGAAACACAATGTAATTTGTAAAAAATCAAACTCAGAATTATTACACTGCAAATATAATAACTTCAGTCAATATCTACTCTTGTTTTTTTTTCCAAACGATTTTAACGACTATTTTCATATTCTATACAATTTTGAATTTGATGATTTTTATTATTTTTGAACAAAGAAATTTGTATATGTGGCAAAAAAAAAAAAAATATCCGTGCCTTAATGGATTTTAAAATGATTACTAAACGCAGTAACGAGTAAAAGTGAATATTATACTTGATTTTAATATATTATATTTATACGTAATTATAACTTTAAATACCTAATTGTTAACATAAAAGAAAAACAGCATTTCTCACCATGAATATATTAATATTATATATAATACATTATTTTCATTCTACGAGTTAGATTTATCTATAAGCAACTGAAATTCATATTAATGGTGAAGAATGTGTAAAAAATAAACTAAATTAATTTTATATACTAACGAGAGTATCAAACTAAACCAGTGGTTCCCAACTTGGGGGGCGTATACACATCGCTGGGGAGACGCAAGCAGTCATCTCAAAGTAAAATTTATTCACTATCATTAATAAAGAAGTAGTCTTTTCGAATATTATAAAGTTTAGTTGTAAAATGTAAAATAAACAAAAAAGTTATAATTTTTTCAATTTATAAATGGGGGCGCGAGATTTTTAAAAATCTACAAAGGGGGCGTAGAATAAATAAGGTTGGGAACCACTGAACTAAACAAACAAGTTTACTAAAAAGTGAATAATAAAATATTTTAGAAATTCGAGTTTTAACCATTTATTATAGCTGGTTTTTGATCTTAAATTGCATAATAAACTAGTCAAAACTATTTTATTTTTTTACTTTCACATTTAATAATGTGTTTTTAAAAATCAATGGTGTGTAGGAATACACATTTTCATTTTTCAAAACAAAAAATTATTATTTTTATTATTTGATGATATTACTAGCTTATAATATATAGCTTATAGTAAAGGGATCGCAATATATTTAATAGCTTAAAATAATATAAATATGTTTTAAATATTACAATAACAAATAAAACTCCTTATAAATGTAGTTATGAGAAGTTTTAAGTCTCTACGAATAGTATTATTTTAATCACAGCATAATAAACGAAATCGTTTATTTTTCATTTAAATATACAACTTCATTAAATTTATAACTTAAATTATCTATAAAAAATTCTTTTACACGAAATTTTAAAGATTTTCAGGTTGTCATAAGAAAAACGTTTAAAAAATCTGGTAATTATTTTTTAAGAATGTTATTATACTTAAAAAATTGTCGTAATTTTGTTAAAATTTAAATCTCAAATTTATAAAAATAAATTTGCCAACAACATATTTTTAATATTTTGTTATAACTTAAAGCACAATTTATAAAGATCTATGTTTTTACAATCATCTTTTTAAGTCAAAAGAGATAAATCCAAACTTCAAACACCAAAAAAGGCAAAAAAATGAGATTATTAATCGCAGAATTTACAAAATAGTAAGTATCAAAATAGCGAAAATAAATACATTTTTTTTATTTTGATTTACAAAATATATACATACTGAACATTATATAAAATAAAATTTATAACTTTATCAAAAATGTTATTTTAAAGCAACTAGTAAACTAATGTAAAATATAGGAACATTTTCAATAAATATTTATGTTAATATTTTCTATTATGATATAATTTTCAGAATATTTTGACTCTTTTGTGCTATAATTAGGTATTTGAAATTTTCTATTTTTCCACGCACAAGTATGATTAAATTTTTATTAAGTTAAAAATTATGAAATTTATTTTGTAGTACAATGTTCTTCATACATCTAATCTTACAACAGTATAAAAATGCATATTCACACACGACATCGATATTTTATGAAATCAGAATTGTAAATTATAAGACACTATTATATTTAATTATAGGGACTTAAAACTTTTTTTTGTATCATTATTTTTCATACCTATTTAAATTTTCAAAATATTCTTATTAATTTAAATAGTTACTAATGTTCTACTATAAAATGCAGGTCAGTATTAACTTATAAGTTATAAGTTATAATAATAATATCTTATAGTTAATATTTTTCCAAAAACTAATTCAACAAATGATTCAACCTACCAATAATAACTTATAAAATAAATTAATTACTAATAGCAACAAAAATATAATATAAAATGTCCTTCATAACACATGCTAATACTGACAAAGTCATACCAAGTAAAGTAACTTCTCTGGTTTTTAATTGTTTAGTTTTTTTTATTTATAAATTGTTCCGAATTTACTTATTTTTATATTTTGTAAAACCTTAATAGAAATATTAATACAACTCCTATTTTCTTTTTAATTTTAATTGTATGTATAAGAGCATCATCACACTTCAATCCATGGTGACACAAGTTTTTGTGAAACATTTGTCTAACGGTTAAATATGAGTGATTGGCAGGTACATACTACATATATAGTGGATAGAGACTACTGGAAAAATTTCTAAATTTCAATTTTGCTCATAAATCATTATGTATAATTTTATTTTAGTTCTATCAATGTCAGCCGAAAGAAGCTTTTCAAAAATTTAATAATTACATAACTAATTATTTTTTCTATAGATTGTTATGTTTTAAGTTCTAACTTAAACATAAAAAATTTAAAAAAAAAAATCAAATATTAATTGTAGCCGCTAGATTACTTCTTTTTTTTCATTTAATTCATGTCATATTTATTTATAGCTCAGATTCTTATTATAAATAAAGTTTTACTGATAATGAAAAGTTATTTTTATTGTAACATCTTTAATAAGAATTATTAAAATAATAAATTTAATATGAAATTATAATAGAAGTTATAACTTATAGGTGATGCAAAAAAATTTTTTTTGTTTCACTGACAAAAAAAGTTGGTGCCACCTTTATTTCAGTCTACTCCACTTGGACTAATACTAGTATTACAATATTAGATAAATATTTAAATATATATACATATACAAAAATACAGATATTATATATTATTATGAAATAATGTAAATTAATGATAAGATATAATAATAGTTAATCATTTTTGCCAATAGGTAATATAAAAATTATGAAGGGGAAAACATTACATAGATATTAAAGAATTGAATGATTAGGCAATTATGTTACATAAATGTATGAGATTTATTTTTATTATCATTTCAAAGTTATTAACCTAATAGTAATTATGGTACCACACACAAAACACATAAATGTAATCTTAGCTGGAAACATATAAAGTTGAATGAAAATTAAGATATTGTTTAAATTGTACAAATACTAAATAAAATTATTATGATGTTGATATTTATACTTAAATTCAATAAACATTAAATTTGTAGTTTAATAATATTTTATTTATCTTTAAATGTATATTGACAAATTTTAAACAAGAATCAAATGCAAGAATAACTAAATGTTAATAGAATCATTGATTACTTTTTAATTTATTACAATATATTATTTAATAATATTAAATAGGACTATGTATTATTATCTGTGTCTGAAATATCAAAACCACTTAATACTAATTCAATGGCAGTTTCCAAGTGACCACCTCCAAGTCGTAATCCTTGTAGGTTTAAAGATTCATTGTACAGACCCATTTCTCTCATTATTCCTAATTGATGTGAATAATCAACTGTGGGTATAGTTGGTTGACTTGGTACATTATTAGGAGTCACCAACACATTTCCTGTATTTCCAGTTGATGTACTTGCCCCACTAGTACTTGGCTGTGGTTGCTGTGTTGTTACATTTGCTATAGCTGTTGCTAACTGTGCGGCAGTGATGGCAAAAGGTAAGTTTCTATTTATTGGTTGACTGTTAGTGTCTGATCCAGGAGATGAATCATCTAAATCTTCTATTTCTTCATCACTGGCAGCAGATATAGATCTGGCCAAAACATCTGATGCCAAGTGGTTCTAACACATAATGAAAATATGTTCCCATTAATATAAATAATAATAGGCATTAAGGATTTTCAATTAAGTTACCTGCACAACTTGTTCACGAACAACTGCAGAAATTTTCAATGCAGCTAATGCCAAAGCAGGATGCTTTTCCGCAATGCGTTTCACCAAGCCAACATCATTGACTTTAACTAACAACTCAGAATGTTGTAAAAGAGTAACTGCTATAGGATCTTCATTCAATTGTGGAGTATTCAAAAGCAGATCGTTTATCAATTTAATTTTATTAATTTTCATTAATGCACATTTGTATGATATATTTAACGAGAGTGAACGAAATGCTACACCCAGTTTCATTAATCCTGAATTGCTGTTGTCAATGTATTTTAGAGGTTGTGTCTTTTCAAGATTTACCTTTTTGAACAAATGCACTGTAGCTCCGTTAATTATATCATACATATAAATAGGAACAGAATCTTCCATGATATTTCCAGAATAAGCCATTACAAAATTATCTTTGTTAAGAGTGTTATCTTTTTCACAAATTTTATGTCTCAATACGCTTACGTGCGACTGCAAATCTATGTACACTTTTTCAGTATACATAGTCATTGTACCCAAACGTAATTTTACGTTAATCAAGGAAATCTCTGGTTCTTCACTCAACATGTTTCCAGCTAAGATACCACAGACAACACGGTAGGATACAACCGACGATGACGCCGAATGTAATTTACACGCGTGAACCTAGTATAGTTTAATTTCGTGTGTAATAAACCAATTATTATGAATATGTAAAAGAATAATATATAATATATACCTACCTTATTATTGGTGGTCTGCAACAAGGGAGAATGCCTGATGAAAAAAAATCGAGTTGAATTAGATGTAGTAAATTTCAATTAAGAAAAAAAAATGATCAAGCAACAATAATTATAATCACAATAGAGATATGGGACAAAAATATTAATGACTTAATCGTAAAATAAGTTAAATAATTATTTAATAATAAAGCATACTTATTTATCGTCAAACACAAAACAACGACTCTGTTTGATATAGAACTTAAGAAAGAGGAACTGATTGGTGAATAGTGATCAATTATTAATTAAATAAACTGAGCAACTGACAAGTGACTAGACTCAGGAAATGAGGAAACAACAACAGTAAATAATAATAATAATAATAATAATAATAATAATGATATGCACAATTCAACGTTTATTCATTTCGTTGGTCCATCGTTCGTAGAACCGTATGGTTTATGGTTACCTCTACAATGTTGGTTGAAGTACTTATCTATTAACCACCAATTTAACCAAAGAGCTTCTACAAAACATATTCTGTGCGATAACAAACGCAACAATATCAATCCAGTTTAGGCGACAATCCTGAATCCATAGATAAATACCACAATTTATTAAAATATTAAAACATCTTAGTACGTAAAGCCAATTAATAAAAAGAATATTGTGTTCTCGTGGGAAATGGATCAATTCACAAAAGAATAAAAACTTATTATCCTAATTAAAAATTCTCCGGACACTGAAAGAATTATATATGGGGAAAATTATCATAATTAAATCGGTAAACACTTTATTTAAAGCGTAATTGTCAATATTGTCATTTAGATTTATGAAGTAATTACGAAAAACATATTATTGTAGAAACTTTCATTTATTTTCAAAATTCAAAATAGTATAATTTGCCTAAATTATGAATAATACTTCTATTACTTTTAATATTTTATTTTTCTGTAAATATATATAAAAAAAATTTTTATTGAGTCAAAATATTTGAAAATGTAAAATTCTTCATAGATTGAGTTATTTAAAATATTGTTCATTTACTAATTTAAAATACAAAAAATACAAAAATAAATTCTGTTTATTTAATTTTAAATGTCAATTTTAGTTCTTTAACATTTATATATTGGGATTTAAAGAAAGTTTTGTAGTTAAATATCTATGTCGATTCTGTAGAAGTTCTAAATCTGAATGTCAAAATCAATAATTACTAAATAATAACTATTTAAGATTTTAATTACAGTAAAACCTATCTTATATGGACCCATGTTAAGACTGAATCCTGTTCTGTGCAGAAATTTATTAAGGTTCCGGCAGATTTTTACAATTTAACATAGGATTAAACCCTCGATGAAACGGAACCTGTCTAATGTAAAACGGAAATCTTTTTTAATCATATATACCTACCTTTAACAAACGGAAAAACATATCATTAAATAAAAAAAATATTTTTGATACTCACATTTATTTTGTTATCAAACAATTATTAAAGTCAGCAATATTAATACGTGTCGATAGATAGGTAACAACATTTTACCTTGAACCTATATCATCAGTGCTTATTATTGTTTCACCGTATATTCGTAGTTTTCCTGTCTTTCGTCTCGTCTTACTTGTTCTCAAAATGTCTTCAAAGATTTATTTAAGTTTAAATGAAAGTCATAAGAGAAATTTGTTAATTGTTAAAAAAAAAAACTCGATAAAAACTTTACACGAATTTTGGAATTTTCAGTTGTATTTTAAACTGCTTACTTTGTTTCATTATATTATTATTTGATTAATACGTTCTAAATATTATGTTATTATGTTATTCTAAAATTTAGAAATTTAAATTTATCGTTGTTTTGAAATATCTAATTAGTAGGTGTATATTATTTAATTATTTACTAAAAATTAAAATTTACTAGAGCCTATATATGATATAATATATTAATTTTCAACATTTTAATTTTTTTATTGGCTGGAAAATATTATAACTTTAAATCTTAATCATGCAGAATATTATAATTCCATAGTACGGAATATTCTTTTTTATTCAGTTACATAGAAACCTGCTTAAAACGGAAATTGTCATTAGTCCTGTGCAAAATTGCACAGGACAAGTTAATTTACTGTAATTATTTACTTCATTTTTGCTAAATTCATGGAATTACCAAATTCGTTACACTTAGACTATGGCCACTGACCACTGTTGTTATTATTACCCATTTTTTAATCAGTATTTTATTGTAAATAATCTACCTATCTTTTCTCTTGACACTATTAAATACTTAGGTCTAAACCTCGATAAAAGACTAACATGATAAAATCATATTAGAAAAAAAAGATTAATATCTAATATTCAATCTTTAAAAATACTACTCTTAAAAAATGAGTTCTCAACTCTAAAAACTATAAATGACTAATATATAAATCTCTTCTGAAACTCATATAGAATATGGACATACGGAATCAATAACTATGGGGATTGGTGAAAAAATTCAATTTAAACTAAATTTAGCCATTTGAAAATATTAAACTTTGTAAAATTACTAATGCTCCACTCTTTATCTCTAATCTGACCCTTCTCAAAGACCTAGGTCTAAAAACAGTATAGAAAAAGAAGTTGCTATTTTTATGTTTTCTATTTTTATGTTGGATTAAAAAACCAAGTGAATCCTCTAATAAAAGGTTTACTTATCTTGTCACTTCTTGGAAATCCACATTGTAGTCTTGAAAGAAAATAGTGTAGAAATCATTTAACTTAATTCTTTTACAACGCTACTTCCAAGTTAAGTGCTACTAATGGGTGGCTCCTTGTTCATGTAACCCCATTAACGTTTTTATATTCCTTCTCTCATATATACTTATTGTGCTTAATTTATTGTATAGATTTTATATATCTTGTAAAAATAAAAAATAAAAATCAGTATTTTAAAAAGGTTAACTTTTATAATAGATAATAAGTGATTAATATAGTTATGAATTATGTTACTATAGTTTTAATCCCGTTAAAAAAAAAATTGTTTATTTTAAAAACAAAGATTAAACCAGTTTTTGATTTTAAAGACAACATTTCAAATCCATCTTTTTCTTGTACAATCAATTATAATAATACAACAGCAAAAATGGTTAAACTGAATATAGAATCTCTAATTTTCACAGCAATAAATGTCTTCAACGTGAGTATTTGGTTAATTTTCTGCAATTAACATTAAATAATGATTAAAACATTTTTTAGGGACGCATTAATTATCATTTATTAGTGAAACTTTTTGAAGTAATAGTCAAGTATTCACAACTGGATAAACGTTCCATTAATTCTGAAACTATAAAAAAATACCAAGAGGATGTTCGCATTGTAATATTTTTTATAATACAATATATTAAAATACAGATAAAAAAAAACTAAAATATAAATAATATTTATAAAACGTCTTAATCTCATACATAATATTCCATTTAAACATAGAATTATACATGTATTTAATGTAAATACAAAAAGTGGCAAGCTTAGTACCTATCCCTATAAAAAAACTCAAATAGCGCTACTGTCGATAAACTTGCTACATGAAAGTAGCTGCAAATAGGTATTTGATATAATATTTTTCTTATAAATTAATTATTGTTTGTTTTTGTCAAAAGGCGGCATTTAAAGGATCTTATGAAATTATAGAATTTCCACTTGATGAAAATTTTACTGTAAGTTACTTCGATGAAATAAGCATTATAATACCGGTAGAACGCAAACAAGTAAAAGAAAATTGCTTAACAAAATCCTCATCAGTAAATATTTTATAAACTACAATATGTATTATGTCATACTATACAATATTGAATATAGGAACAAGATACTATTAAATTGGGTAAAACGTGATTGCGTATATACGCTCGTTATCAGTGATACCTTTTTAAGCTACCTACATGATTTTACTTAATTTTTAACTACACGATTGTGTACGAAATATTAAGCATTAAGTTTTATTAATAATTTATTGACGATGTTATGTATTCATTAAATTATACCTAATTAATAAAATCTCAGATAAAATTGAGTACAATAGTGAATAGTCCCATTAACCTCCAGCGAACTCCTTTGTATAATTGTATATAATATATAAATCATATATGCATTTAATTAAATATGAGTAAATTAAATCAGTCTATCTTGATTTGTATTTAAATTAATAAAATTAATTAATTAAGAGGTTCAGCTATTAAAGAAAAGTATTAAAATATAATAAATTATTTTGTTTTCGAATCTAAATTATACAGCATAAGATGTTCGGAAAAAATAAAGTAATTTAGAAAATGAATTCTATCTAAACTTAATACTTTCAGAGTATGAAATTTAAAGACATAATTTCAATGAACCTTAATAAATTAATTAGTTCAATTAAAATGATAAAATATAGTTAATTTACGAGTATAACAAATATTATTGAATCTGTCATTCAACAGGACAAAAATATAAATAATTCATCTGAAAGTTTGAAAGAAAAATTAACAATGATGTTTAGAAAAATCAAAGATACACCTTTATACCAGTCGGTTAAAGATTTCCGAGAATTTGATCTTAATTATAGGACAAATTTTGAGGCTATTCTCAATATCCTAGATTTACAAGTAAATGTTTTATTTATTTAAATATGAAGTTCGAGATACACTAAAATACATCGAATATTTGTGTTACTTAATATAGAATGGAAGATTGAAGAAAGATAAGTTTGATAATAGAGAATTAAAGAAGAAAAGCAGAACTACTTATGTGGAACATTTGAAACTTAAAAAGGCAATATTATCAACGATCAGTGAAATCATGGAATACATGTAATACTCATTATAAAATATTTTAAAACTTAATATTATCAACAAGAAAATCATAAAATCATAATAAAAATATTTTATTTTTAGGGAACGGATTTGTTTGTAAATGCATATTTTTATTAGAACAAGATATTTAAAATGTTCTAAAAAATATTCACGATTTAAATCAATTTTATTTTACTTATAATTTATATATATTTTGATATAATTCCATATTTTTAAATATTTCATAAATTTGTAAATATTTTTAAACATGTTTTATCATTTCATCATGTATACGTTTTCAATCCATAACGTATAGAGAAGATTCATTAGAAATGTAGTTAGATATAGGGAAATTATGCAATAGACCTAATAATTCAATACTACTTACCAGTAAAAAACTAGAAAAATCAAATAATCAAACAATAGCAAAACTATTTAATGACTCTATAAGTTTACTATCGTCAAGTGGCGTAAAACATAAAAATATTTTTATCCAAAACTAATACATATCACATGTTAAGCGCTATCTTAACCATGTAAGTCATGTGACTAATACATTCAAAGCAGAATACCCTATTGTCGACTTTTTCATAACTTATGCAGTTATGTAAAAATAAGCTCCAAGCCGTACCATCATTTTTAAATAAATGTACCCTGATCTTGCTCTACCACCTGTGTTTAACAGTTACTAGGCGAGGCACACGGTTGATAGCTACTCAATATTTTTGTAACCACTCATAGATAATGCAAGAAATTACTTCAAAATTAGATCCAGAAACTTCTATTGCTATTGGAAAAGCTCAAAATACTTTGCAAAATTAAATATTGAAAAATAATTTAATTTTAAGCTCAGTGAACTTTAGTTTTATTGGACATACAATAACAAAAATAAAAACAAAAAATAAGTCCTTAAATAGTAATATGCAAATTATCAAGTCTGCAATACAAAAATTAAAACACGTAAGCTTACAAATAGGAGATGCTGTAAAAAAGAAAATTCATGCTATTACAGAATAAATCCAGGCTATATTAATTTAAAAACAATCAATAAAATGATTATTGGCAAACATCCTTCTAAAAATTAAGAATTATCACCTTTAAATATTATGTACTTCAAATACGCTCCAATAATACCGGTTGATATTCAATGATTTAAAATAAATTGTAATTATTCAACGCAACACATAATTTTGATATTTCTTTAATTATTTTTAAAGAATCTTTTTAATATATGCATTTATTTACACAGAAATAGAAATTTTTCCCACATACTTTATAAATAATACTTTTCATATTTATATATAATTATACACATTTCTATATTTTCATTACATACAAATCCGTTTCCTAGTTATTACAAAGTACATAAAAATAAGTATCAATAAAAACATTGCATACATTTATGTTAAAATAAAGTAAAGAATAAAATGTATTTACATATATTGTACATCAACTAAAATCAAAACATAGTTATAATTAAAAAACTGGCTAAAATAATAATCAAGTTAAACTTTACAAATAATTAAATAATAAAATATTTTTATTAAGTAGGTATGTTATAACTAAAAATTTAAAAAATTATTTCAAAATAGCACATTTTCTCTTATTATCAATAATAACTAATTCAAGCATGTCCATGCGGTGCATAATCACTAAGTATCCAAAAGTTTTTTGACACTCTTCATACTCTTAAGTTAGAATAATAAAATAAAAATACTTATCAGTGTCATGAATAAATTTATTATCGAGGGAACATTCATTTTCTAAACTTGAACATATAAAAAGTAGCATGTCATCAGTATTCTTTAACACAAGAAAAACTAGACTATTGTTATTACTGGCAATCAATTAGAATCGTGACAAATATTTAAAAAATACAACAATTACTCTACAGATCTGTTTGGATAAATTAATAGAACTAACTTTGAAAGTAAAACGACATTCAAAATAAATTAATTTATATTGAACTAATGTACATCTTATAAATGGATTTTTAAATTAACTTATTAAAAGTTCAGATATATTGTAAATGATCTCATTTAATAAACCAACAATTAGATCTTGTAAATTTCAGACTAAATACAAAAAAAAAAACAAAACAAAAAAGCTCTATGTTTGTAAATCGTATATAAAACCTATGTAACGATTAAAAGAACATAATTTTGTTTATAAATTGTGATGACTGTTATTAATAGTCTTCATCGATCTTGTCTATAATTTAGCAAGAACTTCACTAAATCTATATAATTTGATAAAAAAAACTAAATTAAATCGAAAAGTTTAATGATGACTTTAAAATTTCTATAAAATATATCGGCACTACAAACTATTCAATTTCGCAGTAAAATGACACAAATCAAGAAGAAGGAACAAAATATAAACAATCAAACTAAAAAACTGGCAAAGATGAAAATAAAAAACACACCAGTAACTTTAACCACAAATCATGTTTCCATGCACATAATAGAGCCAAAAAAGACGATAGAACAAAAAAATATATTAGATGTGTTAAGAAAACAACGGAATAGGTAAAAAAATATATCAACAAATTATCACCAATAATATTAAAAACAAATTTAAAAAAATACTTTTGTAGATTGTCCATTGCAAATTGTAATGCTTGTGCTAGATAAAAGCAAATTAACAATACTTTCTAAGCTATCTATATTAATATTATCCTAAAAATTCATTTCAGTTACATGCAATTCGTATATTACTAAATTTTTTTAATACTCAAAATCATTTATACATAAGAAAAAAAAGACAAATATTAAGACTTAAATCTTCTGTATATTATTATATAATAAATCGTATATGGACTTCTGACACGATAAAAAAACTTAAGTGTGTTTATAATATATTGTGGATCATATTAATATTCTCCATTAGACTTAACTATAGTTTGGCAAAAATTAACTAAATTATATTTATAAAACTTGTACGGAAACTCAATAACATCAACTCATTAAATAACATTGA